TATGTGTTTGTGTTTAATGTTTGTATTTACAGCAATGGGGCTTGTGCCTTTCAATGTTCGCATAAAAAGTAACACGTTTAACAAGTTTAGCAATTACTTTAGTCACAGACATGAACCGTATGCAGATCTTTATCCGCGATTTTTTCCACACGACTGTGATTCATGGACAATTAAAAACAATTTTTTTTTTGACAATCCCTGAAACTTTTGAGATGCGTGTCCAAGGAAGAGTGCTGGCAGTTATTTTGTACAGTCAAAATGATTTATGTAGCTTTCCACTGACACTAAGTTACGAAGATCACAGGCAAGAGAAAGAGGCAGTAGACATTGTTTTGCTAAATTAAAGGGGGTTGGAAAGGGGGGGGGGGGGGGTAACTACAACAGTTTGTGACAGTTTCATTCAAGGACATAGATAATTGCAGTGAAAGAAGATAGACAATTTGTCATGGCACTGAATGCATGCTGTTGTAAATCGCACGGTTTGGGAAAGTAGATCGCCCCCCCCCCGACCCGCCCCCACGCAAGTCAGCAGGACACTTGATGGTCGCAAACAGTGCCCCGTTAACGCTAGATTCTGTATAGCATTATCTTGCGTTTAAACACACACAAAAATACAAATGGTTAGTTCTGTGACAAAGGAACAAATGCGAGTCATGTTATTACACAGCAAAGTCCTACCCCGCGACGCCCGAACATGAAAGCTCAGGGACGGATATGGACTTCACCTTTTTGTGTGGAAGTTCACCAAACGATACACTGTCTATATATATTCAAATGTTAGCAGAGAAGAAATACAAGTGAATATAAGCTCATGTAACAAATGACCTAATTTCACCTGTATGTAATGAATTTATTTTCTACGTGGTGGAATTTTTTTGGGGGTGGGGGGGGGGGGGCGTTATATCAAGAAACCATGAGTTGTTCACTTTAGGCTCGGTACTATAGATATCGCAACCCTTCGGCATTGATTCCATGATAAGTACCGTAAATTTGGGAGAAATATTACTTTTCTGCCTACCCCCGAGCGTAAACGCGGACCACAAGGAGTTCGTCACCCGGTCGTCGCGCAGTTAGGTTCAACCAACTAAGCTAGCGAGCCAGGCTTAAATTTTGATATATCATAACACTTCAATTAACTCATAGATGCTCCCTTTTTCTCTACAAATGTATCACCACACATTTCAAAAAAAATCATATGTATGTGTGTACAAAAAGGTATCTTTACAACCATCGTGTTCCTGGAAAGATAATCATTTGAATCATACATTAGCTGAGAGAGAAGAAGCATCTCTGAGTTTACTTGTAGTGCTATGATATGTCGATATCCAAACAACTAGAAACTAAGTGCACTCCATCAAAACAGACGAAATCAGTTCATTTGTTATATGAGCTTGTATGTGCGTATATTTCTTCTCTTTTAATGTCAGAATATATAGAGAAATTATATGTAGTCTGGGGGAACAGTTACGCTAGGAAAGTCCGTTTTTGCATCTGAGCTTTCAGGTACGTGCGCCGCTGCATGTAGCCTTGCTTTGTGACAACAAGACTTTCATTAGTGCCAGTGCCAAAGTAACTTTAAAAAAATGCAAGGTCAGGTTAAACATAATTTAACTGAAGCGTGACACAGCTGATGACCATCAAGTGCCTTGCCGATTGTTATGAGCGATTTACAGACTGAATGTGTGCAATTTCCAGCAGCATGTTTCAGTTTGTGCACTAACATGTTACCACGCCATGATAAATGGTCAAAAATCTTATCTTGCTGCTTTTTCTGTCTCTTTGCATAATACTTTTCTGTTGTCAAAAGTTGTTTTAGTCGTTTTTTTTTTTTCCTGCCATACTTTAGCCCAAAGATGACAGCTGTCTCGTTCTTTGATTGTGACTGGTGTCTTATTGTCCATGATAAACTACATTGGCTGTTGGGAGAATTAACCTAGAGACGCATAACCGTAGTCTCAAAATATATGTTTATATATAAATTTCCAGAAATGATAGTCATATGTTGAAGCGTTACGGTGCTGATTAAGATTTACATACAGCTCGTGTTTGTGAATAAGCTAACTGAATAACTGATCAACTTTTTTTTTTTTTTTAAATAACATTAACATTTAGTTTATCACACTAGTCAAATAACTGGACATGCCAACATTAAACACAAACACATACTCGCAAATAAACATAACAAACACGCATACTGTGATGATATTTTATAAAAGGAGATGTTTAATGAACATTTTACAGGTAAGTTCTGAAAACTATTTCGATTGCTTTCGAAATATATGAACTGTTGCTTGTATTTTTGCACCCAAGTAAGAGAAACTCACATTTACAAATGGAATATTATTGTATCATATCGAACTGAACATAAATTACCAATAAATATTACTCTATACAAATGTTGCGCAAGTGTTATAAATCTGAACACATTTACAATGACAGTTGAAAAGAAGTGGTTAACTAATTGTTCTGCAGAATTGTTTAATAATCCATTCTTACATATGAGAAAACATCATGCGAGGTGCTTTGCTGTAAACAAAATCGTCACTTTCAACCAGCATCCCAGAAACAGGGGGTTTAGGTTATAATTATGACTAAGTTATGTACGCCATATACACTGGCTTAGCATTGCACACTACCAAAAGCCCTGAAAAGGGATCCCGCAGTGTGGATACCATCAAAGAAGACAAACCTAAATACTGTCCAGACCGGCGGCGAAGTCGTCTACAGGCGACCCCATCGCTGATGAGATAATATTGTCTTTTTTTATGGTGTTATTCATCATCATTATCATCATAAAAAAACCTCTATTCTTCTTCTTCTTCTTCTTCTTCTTCTTCTTCTTCTTCTTCTTCTTCTTCTTCTTCTTCTTCTTCGTCTTCTTCATCTACTTCTTCTTCTTCTTCTTCTTCTTCTTCTCCTTCTTTTTCTTCTCCTTCTTCTTTCCCTCCTTTTTCCTCTCCTCCTTCTATTTTAATTCTCTCGGACTCCCCCCCCCCCACCCCCATTTCTACTATTAGTACTATTACCACAACCATCACTATCACCACCACTACTGCTACATCTACTATTACCAGTTTTAAAAAAAGTAAAGGACCCTTTTCCACGCCTTTAAGCGTATATAGGGCTAGACCTATATTTTTATAGACCAATCGGCACAAGATGGAAGATGTGGTCAGCATCACGCCGGCCGCCTTTACTTCCCGAGATTGCACCTGGTACCCACTCAAGGCTGGGTCGACCTGGGAGCCAAGGTCATTTTTGACGAAAAGTCCAGCTGCGCCAAGGAGCGAATCCACGACCTTCCGATGCGCGGCGTGCGTCTAGCCGCTCCGCCACGGCGACTCCCATCTACTACTACCACTACGACTAATTCGAACTCCACTGCTGTCACACTATTACTAATACTACAGCTATTTCGTTTAAAGCATATGTTTCAATACTAGTAATACAACAATAGAAATGCCCGTTACAGCCGTGTGAATGACTCAATTGCGTCAGTTTAATGTAAAGCTGTGATATATCTGCCACATCCGACTTGATCTTTCATTTGTAAAGCGTGTTATCTTCAGGGAAATTACTTATACTACCACGGCAGTATGGCAGGATACAGTAAGGAAACCGTTATGGTCAAACTAAAAGACTAAGACTAAGAAACAATATGGCACAATCATCGTAGATCAGCTCTGCATCAGTTACTTCCATTCACTCACCCACAACTTCTTACCTGTCAGTAGAGTCGCCTCTGTGTGGCTACTGCAGTAAAGACACTGAGCAGGCAAGGCAATTTCATATGTACAGAGAGGTCCGCTGTGATTACACTTACTGTTTAAAACAAAACACACACACAATAAAACACGTAGTTATCCGAAGGCGTTGAAGCTGAAGCCCGTTCTAAAAACTAAACTAAAATCTATAATCATTTCATGCAAGACTAAGATTCGATTGTTCAAAGCACTAGCTATTACAACATTTACACATGGCTCTGAAACGTGGACCTTAACAGCTGACATTGAAAGAAAGATACAAGCATTAGAAATGCGATGTTTCAGAAAATTTCTTCGCATATCATACAGAGACAACATACAAAGGAGGAAGTTCGCCATACATTTATACAGCACACCGGCGAATATGAACATCTTTTAATCACAGTGAAAAGTCGAAAAATGCAATATTATTGACATGTAATAAGATCTCAAAAACAATACTGCAGGGCTCAGTAAAGCAAAAGACGAGAAGAGGCAGACCAGCAAACACCTGGTTACAGAACCTGATGACTAGACAGGCCTCAGGCATGCAACCATGAAGTCCATCGCACTGACCGCTAAAGGTGGAGAGAGCTGACCAGACAGTCAACAGAATCTGGTGACCCAACGACATGTAGAGTTACGGGATGTTGATGATGATGATGATGATGATGATGATGATGATGATGATGATGATGATGATGATGATGATGATGATGATGATGATGAAGCCGTTTGTCTAAAATATCGACGACACAGATGCTAAATTAATGTAATTGATTGACTGAATCCGGAGGTGTTTTTGCGTGTCATTATAACAATTGCATTCATTAAATTACAAACATTTTGAATGTCAAAATTATGACAAAATTATATTTCTGTCAGTGTCTTCTTTTTTCCCGACCACATGTCATTCCCTCATTAATGCCCGCTGGCATGGGCGATTATGCCCTTTTACAACTTACGATCTCCATCACCATGTACGTTCTGTTCTGTCATCCCTAATATTCTCATGTCTTTTTTTCATCTCTCTTTCGACAGATTTCTCCAGGTGTGGCAACATGTTACATTTTCTTTCTTGTCATAATGTGGCCAGAGACTTGATGACACTATCTTTCTTGTATTTAGCTCATTTATGCAAATATATTAGTGTTCATATATTTTAATATTTAATTCATGTATACACTTCATACTTGTGAGTAGAACGACTTCATTGTTACGTCAAGTCTTACAGAAAATACCTGCACCCAAGATAAGATGGAGGTGACCACTTGGATCTTAGCCACGGTAGTGATTCTGGTCATTTACCTGTGGCTGCAGCGTCCAGATCCACGACTTCCGCCCAGCCCTGTACGACCTCTACCATTGGTTGGTCATCTCTTCTCCATGGCTCGCGATACCAGACCACAGTACGCAGAATGGAGAAAAAGAGTCGGGGATATTTACAGGTAACAAGTGTATAAAACTAATGTGTAAAAAAATGTTTTAAATGTTCTTAATACTAGTGTACATTATCATTTAATGCAGTCGCTCAGTTCATCGAAAAATATATTTGAAAACTTATGTGCCGTTTCCATAATGAGATTTGTTTACAGTGTATGTGTGACACAGTCGTGGTCTTCACATCCCCCAAGTATGGATGTGCCTAATTCGGCCAAGGTGTCTGGATACAGTTCGTAGCTCTCTTGAATCGTACTCAAGAACAAGGCCAATTGTGTAACAATTACGCAGCAGTTTATTTATTAACAATATTATCAAGTCAAACAGAATGCATCATTTCAAAAACCAATCGTATAGGAACACTTCATTATCTTATTACTGGCTATTCGTATGTCTCTCTATGAGTTCCTTAATCACTCTCTTAGCTAAACTCCAAGTTTAATATATAGCTTCTAAACGAAGCACAGCTCTAGTTTTCCCAACTGGTCTCTCAAACAGTCCAGTCCTAACTGTTCTCTCAAGCGGTCCCGTCCTAACGGTTCTCTCAAGCGGTCCCGTCCTAACTGTTCTCTCAAGCGGTCCCGTCCTAACGGTTCTCTCAAGCGGTCCCGTCCTAACTGTCCTCTCCAGCCGCTCGCTCCTCGCTGACCTCCCCTCGCTTTAACCCTCTCTTTCTCGCGTGCGTTCTCAATCACTCCCTGTCATCTGTCTCCGGTGGTCACGTTTGGATAAACGTATCTTCAGCTGGACGCGTGCATCGCGTTGCTCACCTCCTTCCGTATGTTTCCATCCTTCACTGTCAGATGTCATGGTTTTACCATGATAACCGCACTCAATTCAACTCTGGTCATCGTGCAGATGTTCTGTATCGCTGGCCAGGCCAGCTTTCTAATCACCCATTTCTGTCATGTCACACGGTGATGGATTAGTATGCCTTGTTGGTGGTCTGAAATGTATGCTTTGTTCATTTAACCCCTTTTAGCCTATATTTCATAAACATGTGGCTGCTATTTTTGCGGTGGCCTCCAAATTCTTCTATAGCGCGACTCTTGTACCGTTTCCGAAACCTTGAGAACAGTTTGTCTCCTCCATCTCAGTCAGCGAGCTTCAGTACTCGAGGATGGTGTAACTGTAAACCGCATTCACTAACCTCTAAACCACTGAGCCTGGCATTGTCACCACACATTGTGTTATGTTGTGATATAACAGAGATACCCAAACTGATCGTCTGTTTCCGACTTTGAACATCTAATCAAATAATGGACGCTTGTCACGTGAGGGGGTTTCTTGGGCATATGATGTTAGACTAAATTTTGTATAGACTAGAGCTGTACCGAATGGTGATTTTCACTGTTGGGCAGAATACGAATAGCGTGACCAACTATTCGGCCGAATACGAATACGAATAGTGTTTCATCATCATCAGGTGCCTTGCTGACTGGCGTTGGCGATTTTGCCTCGCCACAATCGGCGATCTCCTGCAGCATGTATCAGTTCGTGTGCTGGCAAACCTCCATGACATGCAACAAGACTGTCAAGAATCTTCTCTCGTTGTCTTCCTCTATCCCTCCTTCCACAGATCTTTCCAGTGGTCACCAAATGTTCCATTTTCCCTCTTCTCATAAATTGACCGAAAAATGATGACAGTCTCCTGATGTCTGTGATTAGTTGTCTTCGGGCTCTTTCGAAACCTTTTGGTTGCTTTTTTGTTTTGTTTTGTCCAAGGTATTTTAAGCATTGTTTTGTAAAACCACATCTCTGAGGCCTCAAGAAATTGTTTGGCCTGACTACCGATTTTCCAGGACTCACAGTCATATGTTAAAACTATATGTCTGTAGCAAGCAAGAATTCTTTTCCTAACCTTCAATGACAAAGATTTAATGCATAAAATGTTCTTTTTTTTTTTTTTATAAAATGCAGTTTTTGCCTGTTATATTCTGTTTCTTATTTCAGTAATGCATCTTTCATCTGATGTTAACTATGTGCCAAATTCGCATTTAAATGATCGTTCGCTTGGTCGTTTGTTCGATATAATTTAAACGCAATATCTTTTAATTTGAGACACCGTGAAAGAAGGAAAAAACGCATGCTCTCTCTCTCTCTCTCTCTCTCTCTCTCTCTCTCTCTCTCTCTCTCTCTCTCACACACACACACACACACACACACACTCACACAAGCAACAACAAAATAATGCATTACATTTAAATATAAGTGCTTCCTTGACGAGGCTAAGTTATTATTTTCCAGACCACATTTTCCAGGTTAAAATTTCAGCCAAAATATATTCACAGATTTACTTATCCGCTGCACCTTCACGAATACAGAAATAGGATCGGTCGCATGTCGTGATAAATACAATACATGGTTGTCCAAGGGCTATGCATCTATTATTTTTCCACGAAAATTAGGCTCTAGAATCAACTCGGGAACCTCTTTTACGTAACTTCTTCTTTTTATGTCGTGTTGTTGCTTATGTTGTGTTAAAGAAGAGATTTATGTGGTTTCCTGTCTTTTGCTAGGTACGAAGCTTGTGTTATTGTCATAATGCGTTTTTTACTGTGTATGTGTGTGTATATATGTGTGTATGTGTATATGTGTGTATGTATGTGTGTATGTATGTGTGTATGTGTGTGTGTGTGTGTGCATGTATGTGTGGGTAAGTGTGTGTATGTGTATGTGTGTATGTGTGTATGTGTGTATGTGTGTGTATGTGTATATGTGTATATGTGTGTATGTGTATATATGTGTGTTTTTTACTGCCTCTACCCAACTCATTCTTGGTCTGCATCTTGCCTTATAACCTGCTTTTCTATTCAAATAAACTCTTTTTGAATTTTTTCAATTATGACCAGATGACCAAACCATTCTATTCCTAGATGTTCTTGGAAATTATTCACTTATTGTGTCTACCATAGGTATAAGTTATTCATTAGCCACTGTATCCTCGTTTTTCCCCCTGCATTTCTTATACATCTCATTTCACATGTTGTAATTTTTGCGATTATATTTAGGACTGTCCATTTCAGGCATTGAAAGCAAAAAGTTGGTTCGAATAGAGCATTTATTAGATTATGTTTTACGTGACATCAGATATCGATAATTTTATTCTGGAAAACAGTTCCTTTACACACACAGCCTTTTTTACTTGACTTCCACATCAGTTACATACACATAAAATACTGATGCAATCATTGCGTCCAAATAATAATAATAATAATAATAATAATAATAATGGAGGACGGAGAATCAAAAAACGAAATTTATCATACGTTGGAACCACTCAAATTTACTGGCAGCATAATGGCTAATAGACTGTCAGGGATGAAGCATAGAGAGAAACTGGGATGAAACAGAGAAAAGAAGTTCAGAGGTAACAGACAAAAACTGGGAGGTAACAGAGAAACGAAAGTTAGCAGGTAACAGACAAAAACTGGGAGGTAACAGATAGGCAAAAAGTAGGAGATAACAGAGAGCTACAAACTGGGAGATGACAGAGAGACAAAAACTATAAGATAACAGAAAGAAACAAACTGAAAGGCAGCACAGAAATAAAGCAAAATGGGATATCACAGAAACACAAAAACAGGGAGATAACAGACAGATGCAACTGGGAGATTACAGACGGACAAAAACTGGGAGATAACAGAGACGCAAACACTGGGAGGTAATGCAAAGACAAAATCTGGTTGATAACAAAGTGACAAAAACTTGGAGATAACAGAAACATAAAAACTGAAAAATAACAGAGAGACTAAAACTGAAAGATAATAAAGAGACGACATCTGTTTTCTCATAAGATCTAAAGGGGTAGACAACGAGGCCAACAAAAAATATATATATATATATAACACAAAATATATACAGACAACTATAAACAATTGGAATCAGCAGATAGACATGAAAGGCTAAATTAGAGGAATATACACTCACCATTTTGACAGGGTCATAATATAGGCACGCAGGCCCGTCTCGCATCTGGCCCTGCTAGTCGCTCATCTTTAATACAGCCATGACCACATCACCATACAAACAACGACTGATCTATAAAACTGTGGGTGTAGTGCCATGTGTCTGATGGGTCAAATTCATTGGCCGGTTGTTTATATTAAATGTTAAAATTTTAATCTATTCTAGCAATTACACACATCCATAATCCCAACATATCTCCACAGCCTGTACATGGGGAACACCCTACTCGTTGTACTTAACGGATATGACGTCATCAAGGAAGCCCTAGTCAAGAAAGCAGACGTCTTCTCTGACAGACCGCCATTGTTCGTGGATGCGGTAAATTTGTTTTGTTTCGATGCCTTTTCTTTCCAGCAAATTCTGGAAAGATTGTAGAATTTATATAAACCCATATGTATCATGTGCAGCTGAGCCTAAAGCTCTAGTGTCTCTCAAGATTAATTATGTTTTTGCTTGGGACTGAACGTTACCCTCTGTCCCTGGTAACCAAATATTGTGACTCTTATGCCTGTAAGTAGGGGTAATTTATAATCTTCTTCAGGCTTTGTAAACTAAGATAATAGGGTATTCAAGGACGTCCCCATGTAGGATGCCATTTTTTTGTTATTTGAAGCCCCACCATGGCTTCTGCCGGGGGCCCTGGATATAGCCGGGGCATAGACGTGGCCTGACGGCTGAAAGTGGTTTCTAGGACCTCTCCATGGGTGATCCTCCTCCGCGTGGTGGCACTTTGTGTCACCGGGTGTTTGTCGCTTGTGTGATGTCCTGGTGGGATACAACTACCTACTTGTACTAAGAATTGTTGACGAATCCCCGATTCTAACACGGCCGCGTGGTCTAGTAGTAAATCATGGTGAAGTATACCTTCGAGGCTGAGAAAGAAGATATTATAACCAGCTTCTCCGGAGACAAATCAGTAGAGATATCTTGGAGTGGCTGCTGCATCGAAGCAGTGAGAGCGCGTGGGAATTCCGAGTGAGCAGTGACGTCGAATGTGATAACATAACATAATAATTAATTCCCAGCCCAACCAAAGTCGGCACAGAAATAATACTGAACTTTACAGGTAGGCAACCAATCCAATGGTTTGGTCATGTAACAAGACTGGCATCAGACAGGGCACCACCGAGAGCAATGCTATACAGATATATCATTAACAGATCCAGAGGTCAATCACCCAGAAGATGGACTGTCGAAAAATCAGAGACACTGAAAAGTACTATACACTAAGCGAACAGAAAGGCCTGTTCCAGAAATCTCTTCCTGGCCTGACGCGGTGAGGCATTCCAGGAGTAGAATAAAGAAAAGAGAAGAAGAAGCCATGTTCATGGGTTGTGTTTCTGTATAGCATATAGACTACATAAGATTATTCTATTCACTTCGAGCGTGGATTGGCAAATCAAATGGACCTCTGGACTTCTAAGTATTTTTGTCAGAATTAACAACGGGCCTAAAACCCTTAGCTGTTAGTTTCTTTCAAAGAGAAGGACAATCACTTACCATCTCCACACTGAAGGTTGGCAGCCATGTATCTTCAACACTCAGTCTGACTGTGCACTCTAAAGAGCACGGTTTTTCCTTTTCTTGATGTTATCTTCACATGTGTCAACTTTTGGTTCGCCTGCATTCAGTTTACCCCTTCGATCGATTGATCACTTTGTCTGTCCCGTCCAGGCTGCTACCCAAAAGTTCGCCCTACCATCGTGAGATTAACACACACATACACACATACATAGACACACGCACACACACAATCACGAGCACGCACACACACACAAACAAACGTATGCACACGCACACACGCACGCGCACGCACACAACGTTCAACTCCCAAAGAAGTCTGAATTAGGGCACCCAAGCGACTACTCCAGCCAAGTGTAACCCCCAGACTGGCCTCTGCTGAAAAGGACTGATGTTACTTCTTTATTGTTGTCTTGGGTACAACACGGTGAGGCTCTATTCTTGCCTACTGTGGCCAGCCGTGCTCCCTGTCGTTTGTATTTACCTTTCAAGTTGTCGCTCTACAATGTTGTAGTTAATAGAAACACATATGTAGAAGACACACCAGTTTGATGAGAATCTTGGTATTGCTGTTCCGACAGTAGCATCGTACTGCAAGTACTGTTACGTCACACTCAACTCTTGAAGGTAATTACCTTTTGTTGCATGCGTTCCTTTACTTGCATCTTCACCACAGCGCCATACATCTTTACAGTAGCTCGGGGTGTCAATTCAGGATCTCTTCTTCTCAGCTATTCATCCTCAGGTGTCAGGGACGTTTTCACGTTGTCAGCAAACACACTTTATACCAGTAGTTCCTCTCACACAGCTCGACCTCTAGCTCAAACAACAGCTGACTTTCCTACTTTCTCGCCTCCAAATCTTTGTTCTTATCCCACGAGTTTCTACTTGCAATCGTTCATTCAAACACTGAAATTTGCAGGCGTCCCTTTCCCAGTTTTCCTTGCTTGGCTGCCCCTTGAACCTAACTCTTTATATTGGGAAACACTTTGAGGTTCCTGTGAATTCTCACTCATTACATGTGTGCCTGTTCTGGATTTTTTCCCCTTCAAATATCCAAAAACTCTTTGTCTCGGTACTTTGGATATCGCAACCCTTCGGCCTTAATTCCATGATAGATACCGTAAATATTTTTTGCCTATCCCCTGGGCGTGAACCCATACCACAAGGAGTTCGTCACCCGGTGGCCGCGCAGTCAGATTAAACCAACAGAGCTAGCGTGCCTGGCGCTTCTTCTGGATACAAACTAGTCAAGATCAGCGAGTAGTGCCTAAATTAAAACCCAGCCTGTATTTAACATACGACCGTTACAGCCAAGTGGCACGACGCTGACCGCATTGGTCATCCAGTGCCGACTGGTCTATGTACAGCCAAGTGGCACGGCATTGGTCATCCACTGCCGACTGGTCTATGTACAGCCACGGCCATCTTTATTATAAATAGGCCAACTGGGTCAACGGGGCTTCCCGTTCTTGTGCAAGAATTGAGTCCCTCAGTGTTAACAGTTTTTATTGAGGAGATGTATACACAAATTAAACTACAGTTTCATTAATTTTCTACATATTTTATAGAACTATACGTCATTTTTAAGGTAAATAAGTGTGCCGAATAATTATAACAATAAAGGCTCTTACAGACAAACAAAAATGCTTTTGCTACAGTCAACATGAACATAAACATCAATAACGTTTAGATGAAAACTAAAAGTTGTTCCAGCAAAAGTAAAGAAATATCAGTGCTATCTCTTTGATTCTGAGAGGGTATTCTTGCATCAGAGGAGCGGAGGCGGGGGGGGGGGGGGGGGGCATTTGTACTTTATCAAATTTAGCGCATACAAATACTGCTATGAAAGATACACATATCATACATAACATAAATATAAATAATTGATGGTTATTATTATTATTAGTAGACTACTACAACATATAATTATACTTTTATTTAATAATTAGTAAACAAGCACAATCAGTATGAAATTGATATGTGCAATACTTTTTTTCACCCAGAGTAGTTTTCTTAACAGTACTTATAGCACTTCCAAATATGTATCCTCAAGGTACAAACAGCACAAACAAATTTGTCCAGTTTCATCTTGTTGGATGAAATCAATTCCTTACCATTGCGAATTTTTTGGTAAATATGCATAGGAAGTGGATGAACAACCCGAAGTTTCCGCAAGAGTTTACAGCCAGTGTTCGCGATGCAAAGCAAAAGCCAGTTTACAAAAATTAACACAGACCGTTATTTTGCAAATATGCAAAATAGGTCGATGAACTACCAGAAGTTTCCGCAAGAGTTTACAGCCAGTGTTCACGAAGCAAAGCAGAAGCCAGTTTACAAAAATTAACAGACCGTAGAACTGCAAACATGCAAAAGAAGTCGATGAACTACCAGAAGTTTCCACAAGAGTTTACAGCCAGTGTTCGCGAAGCATAAGTCAAATGGTTAGGGATTAATATTATTAGTGTACTGCTACAACATATAATTATACTGTTAGTCAACAATTAGTAAAGAGGCAAAGAGTGACTTGCTGTGAGAGGTTAGTTAGTAAATTAAATATTATTTTCATCCACTTACCTAGAGCTCCGAAATATCTTGACACAATTTATACACAGTGTCGTTGCACCATTTATGCATAGTCAATATGGAAGCAATAGTTTTCTTCAAACACAAGATAGTTTGCACCTCACAACTGTCGATATTCTCCAGATATGGCATCTAAATTAACTCTTTAAAGTATTTTCCCTAGAAGTAAGTTTTCCACATTCAAAGTAGAAAAAGAATAAACAGCCAGTTCCCAAAAATCCAAACTACTGACTAGAAACAGTGACACACACATCGCAACATGACCGTCTCCCGTGAATTTAAATTCAAATTGCTGTAATCTAACAGCAAAGTTTGAAAATCTTGTATATCTACTTCAGAATATCCACTTGTAGATATGTAATACGAATTCATTCAGAACACAGAACTTTGCAAGCACATTAAAATGTCACACAATGCAAGACATGGAAAGGGCTTACACTAACCAGTTTTCGAGGGACTCCATCCAAAAAGTCACGTGATTTAGTTAGATGGCGTAATCTAGAGTTGGCGGTGGCACGGCATTGGTCATCCACTGCCGACTGGTCTATGTACAGCCAAGTGGCACGAAGCTGACCATATTGGTCATCCAGTGCCGACTGGTCTATAGAAATGAGACTAGCCTTAGATGCCGATGCGTTTTATTGTAATTTACGTCATTCTAAGAAACTTTTAAGTTAAGGATCTGTCTGAACTTTGTCGAGTATACGTGGACTCTGTTGTGATTGTAGTGAGTTCGGTAGTTACTCAATATCTAGTACAGCAGACATAGGAGCCGTCGTCATGTCGCGACTGGACGCTCGTCTGTGAATCCAAAGATGGTGACTTTAGGTCAAAAATGACTGGCCCCCAGCTCAACACAGCCCTAAATATGCACCAGGCAAATACATAGGAGGTAACGGCTACTGGTGTTACGTTAACCGTGTCACCCACTGAGTGCCGATTGGTCTGTAATATATTGATCTAGCCCTATATGCCCAAAATGTAGAAAAGGGTCCTTTACTTTATAGCAGAAATATTGTGATCGATTTAGCTCTGTAGTCATAGAGACCGTTTGGACTGACTTGTTGTAACTTTGATATATCTTTAGTTTCACCACACACATTATGGCCAACCATTTATAGTTTTGTTTATATGAAAACCGACTAAATTAATTCCTATAACTAATCATGTCTCAAGAGAATCAATGTGGAACCTTGCTATCTCTCACAGGCTACAGGACTCCCCGAGAAAGGAGTTATCTTCGCCAGTGGGAAACTCTGGAAAGAGCAACGATCCGTCTGTCTGTCCATCCTGAGAGCTTTCGGGATGGGAAAGAATGTTTTGTCCGAGAGGATCCAAGAAGAAGTGGACTGTTACTGCGACTTTCTGGCCGGTCTGAAGGGAAAATCTACAGACATTGGTGTTTTTACCAACATTAGCACTTCTAACGTTATCTGTTCTATCTTGCTTGGTCGCCGCTTTGACTACGACGATAAGACATTTCAGGATTTGATACATAAAATGACTCAATTGATCAGTGAACAAGAAACAGTCAGTATCATCAATTTTATGCCTTGGCTGAAAATATTTCCTGGCGATATTTTCAAGGCTAAAACGTTAAGAATCAGTAACATGGCAATAATTGGGATGCTCTCGAAAGTTCTTGACGAGAAGAAACGTACTGTAGGTGAATCCACAGATGTGTATAACTTGATTGATGCATATATTGTTGAACGAAATAAGAAAATTCAAGCTGGCATATCTACGACTCTTAATGACCAGAATTTACTGAAGATCATGAACGATTTATTCGGGGCTGGAACCGAGACCACCAGCACTACGATCCGTTGGTGCATACTGTATATATTAAATAATCCTAGTGTACAAGACAAAGTTTACGATGAAATAAAAGAAAACGTTGGAACTGATCGAACCGTGACCATACAGGACAAGTCCCACTTGACCTACTTAAACGCGGTCATCATGGAAACACAACGCCTGGCCAGTATTATCCCAATGTCTGTGCCCCACATTGTTTCTGAGAAAGTGACTCTGAGAGGCTACACCCTGCCTAAGGGAACCTGGATTCTCCCCAACCTAGACTCTGTCCTCCATGACAAGGCCATCTGGGGAGAGGACGCCATGAGTTTCAGACCAGAACGATTCATTGACAACGACGGCAAGTTGAAGAACCCTGAACAGTTCATCCCATTCAGTATTGGACGTCGGGTTTGCTTGGGCGAGAGTATGGCCAAGTCAGAACTGTTCCTGTTTCTCTCCAACATGTTTCAGAGATTTCAGTTCCTCCCCTCAAATCCAAACTGCATTCCTCCCCCGGCACACAAGAATGGCATCGTCATTACTCCACAGCCGTACGAAGTGAGGATAATGGAAAGAAAGTAGAGAAGCACACTTGCACACACACAAGACACACACAAATGGAATCGTAACCTTCAAAGCGTAATTCTTATATTTCCTCTTTGGTGCTTTATGTTGAATTCTGTCACAGAACAAGTTAAGGAAAATCTCCGTCTTCAAGACAATAAATTACCCTTTTTTTTTTTTTAACCACTGTATAAATAACTCTTTAGTTAGTTTTACATCTGTGACTGTACAAATAACCCCTTAACTCTATGTTGTGATTGGATAAATAAACAGTAGTTTAAAATTTTTGATTTAATGAACTGCAAATGACGTATTGTTTAAACCCATGTGTTTTCTTAACTATTCTGCATTCGATGTTTCATCTGGTCAACGTCACATCCATCCTCGGTAGGCATACCACACGCTACTTTCTCTGATAACGTTTACTTGTATTCCTTTCAGATTCTTTCAGTGCCAGAGCAGGAATGATTTTCAATGTGTGTGGGTTTTTGTGGTTTTTTTTTTAAAGATTAGGACAGGGGTGAGGATTAATGTAGATCATCTTTAAAAATGTTAACCGAAACTGGGGCAAATTTTTTTCTACTGTGCCCATCTTTAGCTCCCAGTTTTCAATAAACATAAAATATGTTAATTTAGTCATGTATAACTCACCGATACGTTGCAAGAATTGTTTGCTTCATGCTATAAAAGCACTGAAAGTAAGCACCTTAATCGAATGCATTATCATTTTAACTTGATGTAACTTGGAATGTATCTCGTGGACATCTGGGCGAGGCTCTGAAACCACTCATTTCTTTCCTGTAATTCCGCCGAGAGTCAAACGAATATTTCTACCATTATTGTCAAATCTTTCACATTGTGTCTTGCAAGATCGCTTCGTTCACAATATGGGAGTTACCCAATACAATGAGATTACAATTATTTTATCAGTGCTGCATCTCTTCCCCATCCCTTCAAATCTGCATCATTTAATGAGGTGCCGTCGCCACAATAAATCTTGAATGTATTTGCTCTCGTGCTTGATGTCTTTTGCTTCTTCCATTTGGCCTTGAAAGGCTGTAAACTCCAGCCCAAAGTTCTGGATGTTCTTCCACTTCCGGACTTTAGTCTTGTTCCAGAACATGCGCCGTTTTGCCTGCGCCGATCTGGCCTAGCTGCATGCAGACTGCTGGTTCCTCGCCACACCGGCCCTGAATTCTAGTTGTTCTTCCACTTCCGTGTTTGCCTGCATAGATCTGGCATAGCTGCATGCAGACTTCTGGGTCTTTGCCACGCCTGTGACTTTGAAAGGAGATGGTGGTTACATTCCTTTAACTAACAATGTTGCTCCTGAACCCACACGGGCTCTGCTGTCTATAACACTCACAGACTGCTGTATGTCCGGAGCCCACACGGGCTCTGCTGTCTATAACACTCACAGACTGCTGTTCGTCCGGAGCCCACACGGGCTCTGCTGTCTATAACTCTCACAGACTGCTGTTCGTCCGGAGCCCACACGGGCTCTGCTGACTATAACACTTACAGACTGCTGTATGTCCGAAACCCACACGGGTTCTGCTGTCTATAACACTCACAGACTGCTGTTCTTCTGGAACCCACACGGGCTATGCTATCTATGACACTCACAGTGAGACTGCTGTTCGTCCGTTTCCCGATATTATCCTTGCGCTGGTTTCGCTGTGTTTCTCTTTCATGTCTGCCAACATATATATATATATATATATATATATATATATATATATATATATATATATATATATATATATATATATATATATATATATGTGTGTGTGTGTGTGTTTGTGTGTGTGTGTGTGTGTGTTTCTACTAGTTATAAAAGCGTCTTAATCGTCCGAATGTGGTTATGTGCATGGCTTGTAACTATTCTAGATATAGAAATCCAGTCTGTGTATGTCTGTATGCATGCAGTCTTGCATCTGTACATGCAAAATTCTATTATTTCTTAGGCTGTCTTCTATCCATATCCTACCTGTATGTATTCACCTACACATTCACCTCACCTACACCTCTTTCTTCTGTTTCTTTTTTATTCCCGTTTCTATTTTGATTGAAGCGGGATATTCAGATTTCTGTTTCGAATATAATGTCTCAGTTTAGTAGTGTTTAATAATTCTCATGATGTGTTTTTTTAATAATTTGTTTTCACCTACATTTATGACAGTAATAAAAGAATGATGTAACAAGCGCTTATCCAATCGTTTGCTTTATGTGGTTTTGTTTTTAAAAGTTGGTTCGTTTATGGCTCGCGGCCTCCGTTGCTTGGGCGTTGTGAGTCCGACTCGCAATTCCAACGTACCGCGATCGAAACTCACGTGTATTATTTTATTATGGTATGATGCGTCGCAGGTCGACCTAGCCTAAAAAGCGGGAAAGGATTGTTGTCCTGGGGAAGTAAAGACTGCTGGCGTAACACTCACAACATTACCCAACTTGTGCCGATTGGTCTGCACAAATATGGGATGCTCCTCCCATAAGCCCGATGCGCAAAAGGCGTGAAAAGGTATCTTTACTTTTTACTTTTTTACTTTCGATTATGGCTGGTGGTTTGATTAGTTTTGCCTATTTATTGTTGGCTGCCTTATCTATATTTGGTTTATGGTTGACTGGTTGATTTGGCTACAGTTAGTTTATAGCTTGTTGGCTAATGTGTAGTTTGCTGATTGACTGGTTCGTTGTGGGTTGATCTACGGTTAGTAACATAGTTTATTTATGGTCCTTTCGTTGGTTGGTTGGTTGATTGGTTGGTTTACTAGTTGGTTGGTTTGCTTGTTTATGATTGGTTGGTTTGGATTGTTTATTAGTTGGCTGCCTAGTTGGTTATCGGTAGACTTGTTTATGGTTGGCTGGATTATGATTGGTTAGCTGGTTTATGATTGGTTTGTTTATGGTTGGCTGCTTTATGATTGGTTTGTTTATGGTTTGTTGGTTTGTGGTTTACTTGTTGCTTGGTTGGTTGGTTTATAGTTGGCTGGCTGGTTGACATGTTCATGATGTGATTAGCTAAATTTGAGTAGGAAAAAATTGTTTGAATTGAGAAGGGAATATTTGAAGTGAGAAGGGAATGTTTGAAGTGAGAATGGAATGTTTGAAGTGAGAATGGAATGTTTGAAGTGAGAAGGGAATGCTTGAATTGAGAAGGGAATGTTTGAAGTGAGAATGGAATGTTTGAATTGAGAAGGAAATGTTTGAAGTGAGAATGGAATGTTTGAATTGAGAAGGGAATGTTTGAAGTGAGAATGGAATGTTTGAATTGAGAAGGGAATGTTTGAATTTAGAAGGGAATGTTTGAAGTGAGAATGGAATGTTTGAATTGAGAAGGAAATGTTTGAATTGAGAAGGAAACGTTTGAATTGAGAAGGGAATGTTTGAAGTGAGAATGGAATGTTTGAATTGAGAAGGGAATGTTTGAATTTAGAAGGGAATGTTTGAAGTGAGAATGGAATGTTTGAATTGAGAAGGAAATGTTTGAATTGAGAAGGAAATGTTTGAATTGAGAAGGGAATGTTTGAAGTGAGAATGGAATGTTTGAAGTGAGAATGGAATGTTTGAAGTGAGAATGGAATGTTTGAATTGGGAAGGAAATGTTTGAAGTGAGAATGGAATGTTTGAATTTAGAAGGGAATGTTTCGAGTGAGAATGGAATGTTTGAATTGAGCAGGAAATGATTAAATTGAAAATGGAATGTTTGAAGAAGTGAGAATGGAATGTTTAAAGTGAGAAGGGAAATGTTTCAACTGAGAAGCAAATGTTTGAAGTGAGAATGGATTGTTTGAAGAAGTGAGAAGAAAATGTTTTAATTAAGAAGGAAATGTGTGAATTGAGAATGGAATGTTTGAAGAAGTGAAAATGGAATGTTTGAAGTGAGAAGAAGATTGTGGCAGTATTGTGTCTGTTAACCTCCCCGATTTAATAAGTTAAGCACAACTGGCCTTGAGTTTCCTAAGTTTCTCTTTGTTCTCCTATTTTACTTGACTCCCAGGAACTGACTCTCTCTCTCTCTCTCTCTCTCTCTCTCTCTCTCTCTCTCTCTCTCTCTCTCTCTCTCTCTCTCTCTCTCTCTCTCTCTCTCTCTCTCTCTCTCTTCCTCTCCATCTCTTTCTCTCTCTCTCTCTCTTTCTCTCTTTCTCTCTCAAAGACACGTCTCTCAATAAAAGGCATATGAGGGTTTATTTTTTAATTCATAACTCGTCATTAAATTGTCATTAATGCTACTTACTGACTCTGCTTCCTACTGTTCATCTCTTCCGGAATCTTAAAATACACTTTAAAGACTTCACAATTTAAATAAAAAACAAAAAAATCGACATCAACGTCTCAAAATGCTGTGGTAAATGCACCTATATACTACTTCTACTTAACTATAACTTCTGCTTTTCAGTGGTTTGTATGCGATGACATCTTATGATACACAAGCTATATGAACACATATCGTCCCTTTTCTACGCGGGACTTCCCATCTAACTAAAAAAATCTCAGCAACCATTGGCTGGTCACCTACAAGGCCTGAGAACTCGCTAAGATTGAAGCTTCGTTGACTGTCACGGAAAAATTCCGATTTCGATTCCTTTTGTGAAAAAAATTAAATGGACGACCACTTTCAGACTGCTGCTAGCTAGCCTTAGCTGCTAACAGTCTCCGCCTATATTTCAGGTCTGGGCTATTTGCGTCACTTTCGTGACTAAATTTATATTATTTTCGCCGTCTCTGGGCCTAATGCTTCCTTTCGAGTCAGAGACCGCTCGTCCTCCACCCTGTTGTTAGTTTTGCATTTCTTTCCTTTTCTTACTTGGTGTTTTCTTCTGATTTGGCCAGGCGTATTTCATAGGAGAGCGAGCTTTTCTACGCAACGTCCTTTGGACCACCATTTATAGTTTAAAAATTTTGAGTATTTTACTTTCCAAAAAAGTACTGAAAACAGTTTTTGATTTTGGATAGTTCCGAAATGTGAAAATATTCAGCGGGTGACCATAGTAGTCTTATAGTTGTCTTCCTTCATT